TAGTGACCCTATAGGACACAGTAGAACTGCCCCATAGGGTTTCCAAGGCTGTAAATCTTTATGGAAGCAGACTGCCACATCTTTCTCCTATGGAGCGGCTGGTGGGTTTGAACAGCTGACCTTTTGTTAGCAGCCGAGCACTTAACCACTGTGCCACCAGAGGTCCTTATTAAAATTGTGATAAACACCTCAAATTGTCATTCAAAATGCTGAACAGGATATGTGAGAACCCATTTCTCCATCCCTTTGCCAACAATGATTATTAATATTTAGAATGTTTGTCAGTCTGGTAGATATCAGTGGTACTTCACTGTTTTTTGTAGTGTTTAAGCATATTTTTGTACATTTAATGGATACTTGTAACTTCTGTGAACTGAACATCTACGTCTTATCTTTTTCTTATTGATTTATAGGGGCTCAATATATTAAAGGTATAAATATTTGAAGAGACTTACTTTAAATTCTCAGAAACTGTTTTAGCTTTATTGTAATGTCCTCCAACTGGGTTTGCAGCAGCAATAATGGAAGTTCTTGCAGGGAGGCTACAAACCACTCCAGCCTTGGCAAGGCTAATACTTTGCTGTTCCATGGCTTCTAACAAGGCTTGATGTTGATTCCCCATCTTATCAAATTCATCTATTCCACAGATACCTACAATCACAATAAAGTATACAAACAAAAAATTTTCCTTTGGTCCATTTCCAAATTTCACAGAATGGAAACTGTCCTATAGTAAAGAATCATTTCCATTTTTCTCCAGCAGTTAAAATTATAAAATGCCATACCAAAATCAAAACTCATTGCCATCAAGTCGATTCCGACTCACAGAGATGCTACAAGACAGAGTAGAACTGCCCAACAGGGTTTCCAAGGCTATGAATCTTTATGGAAGCCAACTGCCATGTCTTTCATCCGTGGAGTGGCTGGTGGGTTTAAACCACTGACCTGAATTACTGCTTGTGATAAAATACTTGTTTTACTTAACAAATTTTTATATATTTATTCATTTAGCATTTCCATAGGCAAGGCACTATGTCATGAATCTACTGCCATCAAGTCGTTTTCAACTCATAGTGACCCTACAGGACAGAGCAGAACTGTCCCCTAGGGTTTTTCCAAGGCTGTAATCTTTATGGAAGCAGACTGCCACATCTTTCTCCCACAGACTATGTTGTGAGGGTTCCAAAAATGAATAAGATACGAAAGTGACCTTCAAAACATTTAAGTCTGAAATTCCAATAGATGAAGTAAGATAAATACACATTCAAGACAGCATATTTCAAAAACTGTAAGAGATAGGGAGAATTATATAAGACAGATTATGGGAGGGGAGGTTAAAGGAGGAAGCATCATCTGGAAAAGTTTCAAGAAAACGGTGCTGTTTGAGCTGGGTCTTTTGGGGACAGCAGAGCAGCAGGATTTGGGAAGAAATGCATGGGCTGTACAGTCAGGAGGTGATAATATCCACATGCCTACAATGAAGAACAGTTAATACGACTTTTATTCAAATTTATGTACCAACCACAAATGCAAAAGATGAAGAAATTGAAGATTTTCACCAACTTCTGCAGTTTGAAATTGATCAAACATGCAATCAAGTTGCATTGATAATTACTGGTGATTGGAATGTGAAAGTTGGAAGCAAAGAGGATCAGCAGCTGGAAAATATGGCCTTGGTGATAACAAACGACACATGACAGAATTCTGCAAGACCAACAACTTATTTATTGCAAATACCTTTTTTCAGCAACATAAATAGCAACACGTGGATCATATACAAGTTCAAGTTGAAGGTGAAGAAAATTAAAACAAGTCTGTGAGAGTCAAAATACGACCTTCAGTATATCCCACCTGAATTTAGACACCATCTCAATAACAGATTTCACACATTGAACACTAACCACTGAAGACCAGACGAGTTGTAGAAGGACATCATACATGAAGAAAGCAAAAGGTCATTACAAAGACAGGAAAGAAAGAAAAGACCAAAATGGATGTCAGAAGAGACTCTGAAACTTGCTCTTGAACGTAGAGCTGCTAAAGCGAATGGAAGAAATGATGAAGTAAAAGAGATGAACAGGAGATTTCAAAGGGCAGCTCAAGAAAACAAAGTAAAGTAGTATAATGAAATATGCAAAGACCTGGAATTAGAAAACCAAAAGAGAACAGCTTCAGTGTATCTCAAGCTGAAAGAACTGAAGAAAAATTCAAGCCTCGAGTTGCAATATTGAAGGATTCTACAGGGAAAATACTGAACAACACAGGAAGAATCAAAGAAGATGGAAGAAATAGAGTCACTATACCAAAAAGAACTGGTCAACATTCAACCATTTCAGGAGGTGGCATATGAACAAGAACTGATGGTATTGAAGGAAGAAGTTTAAGCTGCACTGAAGGCATTGGTGGAAAAAAAAAGCCTCCAGGAATTTACAGAATACCAATTGTGATGTTTCAACAAACAGATGCAGCACTGAAGGTGCTCACTCGTCTATGCCAAGAAATTTGGAAGACAGCTACCTGGCCAACCAATTGGAAAAGATCCATGTTTATGCCTATGCCTATTCCAAACAAAGGTGACCCAACTGAATGCAGAAATTATCGAACAATATCATTAATATCACACACAAGTAAAATTTTGCTGAAGATCATTCAAAAGTGGTTGCAGGAGTACACTGACAGGGAACTGCCAGAAATTCAAGCTGGATTCAGAAGAGGATATGGTATGAGGGGTATCATTGCTGATGTCAGATGGATCCCGGCTGAAAGCAGAGAATGTCAGAAAGATGTTCATCTATGTTTTACTGATTATGCAAAGGCATTTGACTGTGTGGATCATAACAAATTATGGATAACACTGCGAAGAATGGGAATTCCAGAACACTTAATTGTGCTTACGAGGAACCTGTACATAGATCAAGGAAGAGGTAGTTGTTCAAACGGAACAAGGGGGATACTGCATGGTTTACAGTCAGGAAAAGTGTGCGTCAGGGTCATATCCTTTCACCATACTTCTTTAATCTGTATACTGAGCAAATACTCTGAGAAGCTGGACTATAAGAAGAAGAACGGGGCATCAAGACTGGAGGAAGACTCATTAACAACCTGCAATATGCAGATGACAGTGAAGAGAACTTCAAGCACTTACTGATGAAGCTCAAAGACTACAGTCTCCAGTATGGATTATACTTCAAAATAAAGAAAACAAAAATCCTCACAACTGGACCAGTAAACGACATCATGATAAATGGAGAAAAGACTGAAGTTGTCAAGGATTTCATTTTACTTGGATCCACAATTACCACCCATGGAAGCAGCAGTCAAGAAATCAAATGATGCATTGCACTGGGCAAATCTGTTGCAAGAGACCTCTTTATAGTGTTAAAAAGCAAAGATGTCACTTTGAGGACTAAGGTGTGCCTGACCCAAGCCATGGTGTTTTCAATCGCCTCATGCATATGAACGCTGGGCAATGAATAAGGAAGACTAAATAACTGTCACCTTTCAATTATGGCACTGGCAAAGTATACTGAATACGTCATGAACTGCCGGAAGAATGAATAAATCTGTCTTGGGAGAAGTACAACCAGAATGCTCCTTAGAAGCAAGGATGGCGAGACTTTGTGTCACATACTTTGGACATGTTATCAGGAGAGATCAGTCCCTGGAGATGGGCATAATGCTTGGTAAAGCAGAAGGTCAGGGAAAAAGAGGAAGACCCTCAATGAGATGGACTGACACGGTGCCCGCAACAATGGGCTTAACTATAACAGTGATTGTCAGGATGGCGCAGGACTGGGCAGTGTTTTGTTCCATTGTGCACAGGGTCACTTTGAGTCAGAACCAACTCGATGGCACCTAATAACAACAGCAGCTTCTGAAATGGTTCAATCCACTTAGTTGGGAACGTGCTCCATGTTCACAGCAGGAGATGCCCGGGCTTTAGCCTGTTCTTGCTGTTCAATGTTAAGGTCTGGTACTTGGCCAGCCTTTCCTACTCTGCTGAGATCCTGGCAGTGGTGTCCTCGAAGGTTTATCTTGATGTTTCTCTGGGTTGCCTGTCACTTTATTAACCCATGCCTCTTAGGAGCTGAAGGTATTATTGGAAATTCTCAAGATTACTAGTATAATTCCTGAGAGGTGGGACAGGGTAGGAATAAAGTCAGGCTGCTTCTTCCTTTGGCTGCCACTTTCAAAGTTTAAAGCAGGAGCTGATAAACTTTTACCACAAAAAGTCAAAAGTAAATATTTTAGGCTTTGCAGGCTACATATGGTCTGTTGCATATTTTTGTTTGTGTGCCATAGTCTGCTGATTCCTGGTATTATGGTAAAAAGTTTAAATTTTGCAAATGTTAAACTCTTTTTCTAGTTAGGCTACAACTGGTAAATCTTATTGCCCTTCCCTCCCCACCTCCCAATAATTCCTTTGCATTTTAACAGTGCTACTTTTACCATCATAGTACCCTGCTTACCTACCGGAAGAGATGGCACTGGGCTCTTCTAACATTCTGCATCTTAAGTCCCATTAGCTGTCTGTATAGCTAAACCTCCAAGTCATCTTCAACTTCTAACTGATGAAAAGTTTGATAGTTTGACAGTTTAACAATGAGCATTGTCTCTTTTATTTGTATATTTTCTTCATCCAGTAACTTAGCAAAATCCTCCACTTTTAATGAGTTGTGTGACAACCAGATAACTGTTTATTGAATTTATTCATTCAGCAAGTATTTATTGACTACTTTCTATGTACCAGGTACTACGTTCTAGGTGTGTAGGATATAGCACTGAATGAAACAGCCAGAATTCCTTGCCCTGTGAAGCTTACATTCTACCTGGTAGAAGGGAGGCAGACAATAAAGAAAAAGTAATCCACACAGTATATGATGAGGTGATAAGAGCTATGGGAAGAAAAAGTAGAGTGGGCTACGAAAAATAGGGTCTGCTGGGGGAAGAGGAGTTACAATTTAAAATATGGTGTTTAGGGAAGACCTCACTGGGGTCATGACATTTGAGCGAAGACTTGAAGGAGTAAAGGGAACAAGCCTTGTAGACTTATCTGGAGGAAGAACATTGCAGGCAGAGGGAATAACAAGCACAAAGGCCCTAAGGCAGGAATGTGTCTGGGGTGCTTACTAGTGTCCAAGGCTCTATGAGGCCAGTGTCACTGGAGAAGAGGAAACAAGGGGGAAGTAGCAGGTGATGAAGCAAAAGAGATGTGATAAAGGGCCAGAATGTAAACGGCTTTGGCCCTTATCAAGAATGCGGCTTTCACTGAGTAAGACAAGGAGCCACTGGAAGGTTTTGAGCAGAAAAACACGATTTAAGTTTTTAATGGAATTACTCTGCTGTGTTAAAAACAGACAGGAGTGGGAAAGGCTGGTTACAGGCATGTGAATTAGGAGATCACAGTGATAAACCATGCCAGAGATGATGGTAGATTGGACTAGGGTGGTAGAAGTGGCTGGATACTGGATATATTTTGAAGGTAGGGCCAAACAAGGCTTGCTGACAGACTGGATGTGGGGTATGAGAAAAAGTCAAAGATGACACCCAATTTTCTGGCCTGAGCAAATAGAAGGATGGAGTTATCATTTACTGAGATGGGGAAGACTGCAAAAACAACAAGTTTAAGAGGAAGATCGAGATTTTGGTTCTGGACATGTTAAGTTTCGGAAACTTATTAGCTATGTAAGTAGAGATACTATGTAGGCAGTAAGAAATATGTGCTCAGAGTTCAGGGGAGAAGTACCATATTTTTATGCAAATAACGTGCTCGGTATACGTTTTTTGCCAACTGCTATGCCAGAACGGTTTTACTTAATTTTATCATTTCTGTGTGTTGTATGTGTGGGTTCATTATTTACGTGGGAGTATTATTTGCAAAAAAAGATACAGTAAAACAGTGGCGTAGCTGTTGGCAAGAAAAATGTGTAATGCATGTGTTATTTGCATAAAAATACAGTACAAGCTGGGAATACAAATTTCAGAATTTTGAGCATATAGGAAGGTAAGGCCATGAGACTATGTAAGATCACCAAGAAGGTAGGTAGACCTAGAAGACAAAAAGTCCAAGAACTATGTACCCTGAGGTACCAGTCAGTTAAGAGATTAGGGAGATGAAGAACCAGTAAAGACTGAGAAGGATGAAGTTATCTAGTGAGTGAAGTTAAAAAGAAAACCAAAAGGGTGTGGTGTCCTGGAAACCAAGGAGAGAAAATGTTTCAAAAGGGCAAGAGTGATCAATTGTTTAATGTGGCCAACAGGGATTTAGAAATGTAGAGGTCACTGGCAAATGGGAATGAATAAATGATCTTAATTTGACTAGAATCTGAGCAGTGCCTAACAAAGGCACAAGAACATGTTTTCCTAATAGGGTTAAAGCATCACAAAAAGAAACTTAGGTAGCAAAACCCAATGTGGATATTCCTTCTTGCTGAGCTTTCCAACTGGATTTCTTTATAAACTATCAATCAAATCCCTCCCCCCAAAAAACCTGATGAAATGGGTTAAAATACAGCAAAGGCTTACAAATTCTAAACTACTACTAAAATCCTAGTAAAGTTACAGATCTAAACTCTCACTGAAAAGTCCTCTGAGCGCTAAGAATAACATTCACCTTCTTTTCAATTCCAAGGTATCTAGAACTATTCTAAGCAAAATAATAATAATACATTCAAGAAGTATACCTCTGTGCTAGGCGATGGGAATATGGCAGTCAAGATAAACAAATCCCACCCCACAGGGAGTTTAACATAAAGCTTTAAAACAAATGATCACAAATGTGATAAGTGGTGTGAAATGGGAAGTGTAGGAATCTATACCTCTTTTACCTAATTAATTTTTATGTATAATTGTATCTGCTGTAAGATTCTGGAAATGAATGATATTAAGCACCAGTTTCAATTCTGCAGTATAAATAAAAATGATAGTGGTATACTTCCTGTTATTATTCCTGACCAAAAAGAAAACCAAACCTGCTGCCATCGAGTCAATTCTGACTCACAGCAACCCTACAGGACACGGTAGAACTGCCCCATAGGGTTTCCAAGGAGCAGCTGGTAGATTCGAACTGCCGACCGTTTGGTTAGCAGCCAAGCTCTTAACCACTGTGCCACCAGGGCTCCTGACACTTATTACCAATTCATTGCTTAGGATAGTGCTGTCCAAATGCCTCTTGAATCAAATGTAAAGAAATGAAGTGAAAAGGAAAGGGCTTTATACAACAACAAAAACGTCTCAAAATCATGGATTATTATTATTCCCTTTGTCTCTCACCTTGATCACCAAGTACCAGGGCACCAGCTTCCAAAGTAAAATCTCCAGAGGAACTGTCTTTTGAAAGAGTCACAGTCAGACCAGAGGTGGTAGTGGTGTTACCACAAACATATACGCCACGTGGAGCAACGTTGCACGCTGCCTTAAAAAAAAAAAAAGTTTAACAGAATCATCCAAAGCAAAAAGGAAATAATGGCTAATAGTAATTGCTCAACAAATGTTAGCTACATTCCAGGTATTGGTGTAAGAGCTTTACTATATAATCAATCTTAAACCACTGTAAGAAGAAGGTATCAGCACATCCCCATTTACCAATGTGGAAACTGAGGCCCATGGAGAGTTCAAACAGAAAAACATTAAGCATCCATTTTAACTTCTAAAGCTCCAATGCGTCTTTAAACATCTAGTAATAAAATGGCTCAGTAATATAATAAGACACACTAGGAGTAAACCGGACTTCCATCTGTAATACACTAATTAAAAAGTTACACAAACACACACATACAATGCTACAAAAGACAGAAAATAAACCTGTGACAATTCAGAGCCCCACAGCCATATTTTCCTGCATATTCTGACTAAGTGTCCTCTTCATTTTCATCATCAACTGTTTTACCCTATAACTATACTCTCTGCCTCAAGTGTTGTTAGGCTTCTGAGCAAGTGCTTAGTTAGAACAGAATTTGAATTAAAGGGGGGAAAAAAAAAGATAGACCCAACTGACCAAAAACAACGACACACGGATTAAATGTCAGATTAGGAACAGAAGTGAAGACTGGCTAAACACAGGAATAAAGGCTGACTCTAACACAAAGGACAGGGAGTTTGTAATATAATTCGTAAAAGCAAAGCAGTTCTCAGGCCTGGCTGCACATCACAATCACCTGTGGAGGATTATATGCCTACAGACAATAAGGCCCTAACCTGGAGACTCTTAATTCAGTTGGCCTGGGGCAGGCCAAAGGAGCCCTGGTGGTGCAGTGGTTAAAGCACTCAGCTGCCAACCAAAACATCAGTGGTTCGAATCCACCAGCCGCTCCGTGGCAGGCTGCTTCCATAAAGATTTATAGCCTTGGAAACCCTAAGGGGTCGCTATAAGTCAGAATCGACTCGATGGCAGTGGATTTGGGGGCAGGCTACAGTATTTTCAAAGAGCTCCAAAGATGATTTTGATATGCAGTCAGAGTTCATAACTCCTGAACAAATGATTCAGCAGCCATCAGGACTACAAAGGGCCAGGGAGCCCCTGGTCTGGAGGTCATATTTTTCAACAAGGGCAGAGGGGAGAATGCACATTCTTAGAACTGACATTAAGGCTGGTTTGCCAAAAGCTGTCACTCTGTCATAAGAAACTACACATATTCCAACAAGTAGCACCTTTTGAGGCCATCATAAGCTTTGTAGGGGATAACCACCAAATTCTGAATGGAAGAGACAGAATGTTTTTGGGGACCAACAACTGACTGGTCACAGTCAGTTGCCTTGCTTTGGACTCGGAGAGAAGCAGCAGAGGTAGATAAGGACAGGTCTCTGTCAGATCCCACCTAACACCCAGTATAGCATGTAGTTGCCGGAAGGGAAACTGGGGCAACTCTGCTTTTACTTCCTTGAACTATTCTGTTCATAGGTGAGATCATGTTGCAACAATAAAGACTAGTAAAGCAAGGCTACATACAAAAAAAAGGGGAGGGGGGAGTAGGGGTTAGGAAAATGGTTAATGTTTCACAACAGTTGGTGTCTCAACACACCAGCATGCCTGTGCAGTCACAGGCAGACTGACTTGGTTTGAAAATACGGTCAGATACAAGTTATAAAATAACACTCACATAGACCCCAGAGTTCACTCATACCACCAGACAAACTATCTTCTGGAACACAAATACTACATGCTTTGAGAAAATTCTCTTGTGAATCATTCATGCATTTTATAAGCAAAAGGTCAAATACTAAATGACTGATTTCCTACTTGTAGCATCTGACTCTTTCCCAAGCCCGGATCTCCAACAACAAGGATGTGTGGGTCTCCTCGAATTGGCATTCTGTTTTTGTCATCTGCATATTTCTGGCTTCCTCCGAAGAGTGCTAATGTCAAACCTGCTTTGACAAGCTTGAGTGTGAAAAAAAAGGAAAAAAATATAAAGATGACTCAAAAGAGGTACTCCTCCTATGTATACAAAATTTATTTGTTTGGGGCTTTTATTTTCTTGAAGCATGAGTGCACTTTCTTCTTGTTTCAAGTCTAAAAATGTAAACTTATATAATATAAACAATTAATAAACAAAAATTAGAGAACAAATTAAAATCAGAGAGGCATCGTGTAAGTCATTGAGTTGAGACCTACTTTCAAGGCATGAATCCACTCCACAAAAAAGAGAAATTTTTTAGCTTCTGCTTTAACACTTTCAATGTCCAGAGTCACTTTAAAGGAAACCCACTGCTATCTAATTGGTAGGCCGTTTTTATTACAAAGGAGTCTCTGGGTGATCTAAAGGGTTAATGTACTCGGCACTAACTGAAAGTTAGGAGGTTCAAATCCACCCAGAGGTGCCACAGAAGAAAGGCTCAGTGATCTATTTCTGAAAAATCAGCCACTGAAAAACCCTACAGAGCACAGTTCTACTCTGACACACACAAGGTCACAGTGAGTCAGAACTGACTCCACAGCAACTGGTTTTTGGCTTTTTTGAATTTTTTTTTATTACAGGGGGCTATAGTTTGTCTCCCATACCATTCATTTATGGAGAATAAAGATTCATATTAAAATATGAATAACTAGCCAACAGAAATTACTTATTATTGTAAAGTCTTTACATGTTATTTTTGTCAACGTTATGTATTTTTGAGTAAAGATGAAATAAAACACTTACTTCATGACCAAAAATGACAGGGCAAAGCGAGCTGAAAAATAGAATATAACTTATTAAAAATAAAAAATCAAATTCCAACTTAAACTTCATTGATCCCTTATAATATCTATAATCTGACTGACTTGCTTTATTTAGCTTCAAAAAAGAAAAAAAATTGCCTCCCCTCAAAAACTCAAGAAAGCTCATTCTAACACTAAATTTCTCAAAATTCTTAGTCTGTAAAGGGAAGAATACTTTAAAAACTGTGCCTTTGTAACAGAGACAGGATACTTCTTGTAAAGCATCTTAAAGTAACCAAATACACTTCTGACCTTTTTCTAGAACTAACTTTTAAAATGTATCATAATCATGGTCTTTCACTTCAGGATTTGAATGTATTTTATTGAATACACATCTTTAGACCTGCAAGGCCAAGCCACTGAAAGGAGACTAAAGTGTGAACTGAGTACATAATATTTTTAAATGGGATAAAATTTTCATTTTTTCAGTTCAGTTCAAAGAGTCAGAATAAATAAGACCACTTATGAATATAAAGAAATACAGTCACACTTATCAGTTGAACAAACAGAAATGTACAGGATGGAAGAGATACAATCAGGAATGATAATGTGACCCATGATCCCTTTCTAATATCTGCAGACTCTTGCAGAGGCTGTTGGTGTCCCACCCATATCCCGCTGACACTCATTGTTCAGCACCTTCCTTCATAATCACTGCTGGCTTCCTACCAAGCACCTGCCTGTTTGCCTAAGGGCTTGAGATGGCAACAGAAGCATCATCAGCAAGCAGGCTGGTCAGGTCGGAAGTGCTGGGACGTTTAATATCCCTGGGAGTAGACCTAAATCGACAGTCTCAGATAGAAAAAATACTAAGGCTAATCCTACACAGTCTAGTGTCCTGGAGGCCTCAGGACAATTAAACACCAAATGCTAGTGGTAACCTGTTCTCATTAAGGCACCATACACTGCCTTCCCTTCTCTGTCTCACTTCCCCACTTCCCTACCAGTGCTTCGGGATCGCCTCCCACATAAACTTGTTAGGTGCCGTCAAGTCGGTTCTGACTCATAGTGACCCTGTGTACAAAAGAATAAAACAGTGCCCGATCCTGCACCATCCTCACAATCACTGTTATGCTTGAGCCCACTGTTGCAGCCACTGTGTCAATTCATCTCCTGGAGGGTCTTCCTCTTTTTCGCTGACCCTCTACTTTACCAAGCATGATGTCCTTCTCCAGGGACTGGTCCCTCTTGATAACATGTCCAAAGTACATGAGAAGAAGTCTTGCCATCCTCACTTCTAAGGAGCATTCTGGCTGTACTTCTTCCAATACAGATGTGTTTGTTTTTCTGGTAGCCCATGGTATGTTCAATATTCTCTGCCAACACCATAATTCAGAGGCATCAGTTCTTTAGTCTTCCTTAGTCATTGTCCAGCTTTCACATGCATGAGGTGACTGAAAATACCATGGCTTGGGTCAGGTGCACCTTAGTCCTCAAGGTGACATCTTTGCTTTTTAACACTTCAGAGGTTTTTTGCAGCAGATTTGCCTAATTCAATACTTCGTTTGATTTCCTGACTGCTGCTTCCGTGGGCGTTGATTGTGAATCCAAGTAAAATGAAATCCTTGACAACTTCAATATTTTCTGTTTACCATGATGCTGTGCTCTTTGAACTTCATCAGTAAGTGATTCAAGTCCTCTTCACTTTCAACAAGCAAGGTTGTGTCATTACACATCCTAGGTTGTTAATGAGTCTTTCTCCAATCCTGATGCGGCATCCTTCTTCAGATAGTTCTTCATCTCCGATTATTTGCTCAGCATACAGATTGAATAAGTATGGTAAAAGAATACAACCCTACAACACATCTTTCCTGACTTTAAACCACGCAGTATCCCCTGGTTCTGTTCGAACGACTGCCTCTTGGTCCATGTACAGGTTCCATATGAGCACAATTAAAGTGGTCTGGAATTCCCATTCTTTGCGAAGTTATCCATAATTTGCTATGATCCACACAGTCGAATGCCTTTGCATAGTCACTAAAACACAGGAAAATATCTTTCTGGTATTCTCTGCTTTCAGCCAGGATCCATCTGACATCAGCAATGATATTCCTCGTTCCCCATCGTCTTGTAAATCCTGCTGGAATTTCTGGCTGTTCCCTGTCGATGTACTACTGCAACCATTTTGAATTTTACTTGCATGTGATATTAATGATATTGTTCGATAATTTCTGCATTCTGTTGGATCACCCTTCTTTGGAATGGACACAAATATAGATCTCTTCCAGTTGGTTATCCAGGTAGCTGTCTTCCAAGTTTCTTGGCATAGGCGAGTGAGTCAAATCATTGACTTAGTCTGTGCTTCTGAGGGAACCCAAACTAAAACAGAACCTACCACTGTCTTCTCCTTTCTCCTTTCATGGTCCTCCATTGTTCATTCAGCATGGGTGGGCAAACTTTTTCTTAAAGGGCCAGAAAGTAAATACTTTTGGCTTTGCAGACCATAAAGTCTCAATCACAGCCATTTAACTTGTAGTGTGAAAGTAGTCACAGACAACATGTAAGTGAATGGGTGGACCTGTGTGCCAATAAAACTTTACAAACTAGGCAGCCCACCTACTTTGCCAGTTCCTACTGAATTAACAAATGGAAGACCATGAAGTATCTAGTTTTGATGCTGAAATCAAAAGAAAACTATGGCAATAAAACCCAAGGTTTTCATATTAATTTATTTTTTGTAAATTGACAGCTTGAACCCATCTACCAGCACCACATAAGAAAGGCCTGGCAATCTGCTTCCATAAAGATTATAACCAAGAAAACCCTGTGGAGCAGTACTACTCTGTAACATATGAGGTCACCATGAGTCAGAATCAACTTGATGACAACAACAGCAGCAAGAACAACAACAAAGGAATCAACCAAAGAAGTGTTCTGATCCTCAAGCAGGCTGTTCCTTGGTTACTTGCTCACAGATCACACCCCCACCTTGGCCAGGAGAATCCTCTCTTTGGGTGGATTTGAATGGCTATCAATTCAGAAGGAAATCTCTAAGAGTTTAAGGACAAAGAGCCCTTGAAGAACTATTTGAGGTATTTTACTCAGTCTGCTAATTAACAATTAACGTATTAAAGGCAGAAAGCAAAAGTGTCAGTTTTAGAGCCCAAAGCCTAAGCCTAACAAAAAAACATGACAAGATCACTATTTCTATTACAATGAATTTCAAAACCTTCTCAATTCTTTACCTCTCAATGTAGGGACATGTGTCATCTCATATCTCTCATTTTCCCCTATTCAAATTATGAAAAAAAAAAATTATCAAAATAACAGCACCATTTGTCACCACAGTATGACAAACTGATAGACAAGTGGTATTTTCAATAACCTCATGCATTCGAAAGCTGGATAATGAATAAGGAAGACTGAAGAACTGATGCCTTTCAATTACGGTGTTGGTGAAGAATATTGAATATGCCATGGACTGCCAGAAAAACGAACATATCTGTCTTGGAAGAAGTACAGCTAGAATGCTTCTTAGAAGTGAGGATGGCGACACTTCGTCTCATATACTTTGGACATGTTATCAGGAGGGCCATGTCCCTGGAGAGGGACATCACACTTGGTTAAGTAGTGGGTCAGTGAAAAAGTGGAAGATCCCCAACGAGATGAAATGACACAGTGGCTGCAGCAATGGGCTCCAACATAGCAACGACTGTGAGGATGGCACAGGACCTGGTACTGTTTTGTTCTGTTGTACACAGGGTCGCTATGAGTCAGAACCAACTTGACGGCACCTAACAACAATTACGTTAAGTAAAAAGGAGCTCTGGTGGCACAATGGTTAAGCACTTGGCTGTTAACCAAAAAGTTGATGGATCAATCCAACCAGCCTCTCTGAGGGAGACAGATGTGGCAGTCTGCTTCTGTAAAGATTTACAGCCTTGGAAACCCTATGGGGCAGTTCTACTCTGTACTATAGAGCTGCTATGAATCAGAATCGACTCAAGGGCAACAACGGCTCTTGTTCTGGAAATTATGTTAAGTACATTACAAAATCTCACTTAATCCTTAGAATAACCCTCTAAGGTAGTTATTATTTCCATTTTAAGATGATAAAACAGGGAGAAGTTAAGTAGCATGCCCAATATCACACTGGAAGTATGTGGCAGAAACAGGATTATAATTTAGGTTTTTTTACAAAGAGAAGCTCTTAACCCCTAAAAGCTAAAGAAATGCGTCTTCTTTAATTTGCTTCTTCCTTCTCTACTATATGATAATAACATGGGAATTAAGAATATTATGAATACATATTGACTGAAAGAGACTCCTAACTGAATCCCTTTCTTGCTTTCTAAAATTAAACAAAAAACCTACATACAACTAACTGAAATGGTTTGGAATTCACTGTCCCCTCACTCTTCTATTGAGTGCTGTCATTATCTTCAACATAGTAAATTTTCCTTATTGTTTCAACCAAACCAAAAAACCAAACCCGTTGCCGTCAAGTCAATTCCGACTCATAGCGACCTTATAGGACAGAGAAGAACTGCCCCATAGGGTTTCCCAGGAGCGGCTGGTGGATTAAAAATGCCCACCTTTTGGTTAGCAAGGTCAGCAAACTTTCTCAGTCAAGTGCCAGATAGTGAGTATCTGTGAACCACTGTTTTCTATCAACAACTACCCAACTCTGCTATCGTAGCACAAACTGGTCACAGACAATATGCAAACAAATCAGCATGGCCACTTTCTAATAAAACTTTATGAATCGAAACTGAAATTTAAATTTCATATAATTTTATGTGTCATGAAAGTCTTCTGATTTTTTTCCCCACCATTTAAACATGTAAAAACCATTCCTCGTTCACAGACAGCACAAAAACGGGGATTTAACTCGTGTATTGTAGTTTGCCAACCATTCTCACTTCAGTTTTTTGTTACCTGTAGCCAAGAACATCCCGACATGCACATATTTAATAAAACTGTAGATAACCTCATACATACTTGACAATGAGCTTAAACAGATTTTCTTCAGCTTGAATCTCTTGGATGGCATAAAGGTCTTTAAGTGAGAACTCCATCAATGTTCCATGCTTAGACCCACTCTCTGAAGTCTTTGTTTTCTGCCCTTTGCTATTGCTAACAGAATTTGCTTCAATGTACAGAAGGAACATGCATTTGTCATTCTTATTTCGAGAGCCTGTAAATTTAAATACAATAAAATTAATATTTTTATTTTCCCTACAAAGATTCCACTAGAAAGTAAAAGAAGGGCACAGTGAGCTATGAATAAACCTTTATTTCAAAGGAAAGTTTCATCTTATATAAGAAACAAGGGATTCCCCCCAAATTGATGGAGATTCAGAAGTATCTAAAAAACAAATCATTACTGAGGGACAATCAAAAGGAGGAAAAGAGTTCTGCTATACCTTCTTCAGCATTGGAGACTTTGACAATTCCCGTAATAGTCACTGTGTCTCCTGGGACACAGCTATCCACAAGATCGTGAACAAGCTCACATTCTATTGTTCGGGGAATCCGACCTGCTTCTCGGTGATCATCAGACATTAGCTCCTGGATTCTAAGAAGTTCAACAATATTCAGTTAGGACACTTTCTGCCTTTGGGTTATTTCTTCAACATACTAACCACTCAGGGTCCACGTGGTACTGAGTTAGCTAAAGAACAGACTGGGGCGGGGGGAGTTCAATGGTGCGTCTAAAATTACTTCAGTGGTTTCCAGTTCAGGATGGCAGAATGAGCACATGCATTTGCTTACCTCCCTCCAAAATGCACATCAAAATAATAGTCACTAAAACAGTGAAGAGACGTTCTGGGGCATGCAGAGGTGTCATTAGCAAACGAGGTATTAGTGATAGCCAAACTAGTAAAAAATGTCTGCCTTGAGCATTCTGCTCTTTCAAGAACTATCTATATGGAATCAAAGTGATAAAAGCAACTCTAAAGATTAGGTAGAAACCCTAGGGCGCAGTGAGTTTATGTTAAGGCGGGAGGAACAACTCAAAAGAAGGGTGAGAATGGTTGCACAACTTGAACAATGTAATCAATGTCACTGAATGGTACATGTAGAAATAGTTGAATTGGTGTATGTTTTGCTGTGTATATTCTCAACAACAACAAAATAAATTTTAAAAAGAGAGAGATTAATGAGATTTTAGAAGACAGTAAATGGAAAAGTATTAATACATAAAACAAAATAAAGCCCAGAATACACACAGGGAAAAGGTTAACAAGAGAAGTGGGAGCCAATGTTCTCAGCAGAGCCCTAGAGAGGTTTCCAACTTGAAGTCAGCAGGAATGGAGAAATGGAAGAAAATAGGATAATCAACATAAAGACAAGTCATGGAATAGCTGCTGAGAATTTTTCTGGAAAGGGGTGGACTGGTGGGTAGGGAAAGAATGATGGCATTTCAGCAAAGACATGATGCTTTACCCTCTGGCAAAAACCAGAGCAGTTTTAAGGAAATAGACTCATCGGCCCTGTGAGCAGAGCTGTGTCAAGTAAGGATATTAGAGCGCGAGGAAAAAGCCTCTTCAGAGGGGCTAAACCCTAATTCAAACCACATTCATAAAGCAAAACCTGATAGTCAAAACCCCTACTTTCTTATTCAGGGGTGAGGCCTTGTGAGGAAAAAAAATCCTACCTACAAAAAGCAAAGGAAACCTATCCTAGCTATGCCAAATAATCTCTCACTCTTCATCAGACTTTTGCTAAAATGAGAAAACAGAAAAACAAGAGAAAATAGTCAAATATTCTAGAGTAAAAGACAGTATCTAGAACAAAATCGGGATGATGACACAACTGGATGCATCTTCATTAAGTTTCAGAACATCATGGATAAAAAGATTACAAAGAAGGGGAAAAGTCCCGTCTTCTCAAAGGAATGAGAATAAGACCTCCATCAGACATCTCATCCACATCACTGGATGCAAAGGACAAGATAGTACAGGCCACAGGGAAAATTAGAACATAGTACTATTCTATAGCCAGGCAAACTCTTACTCCAGTCTAAGAACAAAAAATAAAAATATTTTCAGACATGCAAGGACCCAGAAAGTTTTACTTCCCATGCACTTCTGGAAAATTTACTAGAAAAGCAAAGAAGGAATCTACAAAAATGAAAAACAAGGCTCAAGAAAACAGTGGGCCTAACCCAGTAGTGCAATGAGGCAAAATTCCAGCATGACAACAGGACTGCAGGTCTGGAGAACAACTGAACCAGACTCAAGGAGAGCTCAGGAAGGTTTTTTTGTTTTTGTTTTTTAAGGTAGATTTCGTGTATCCCACACTGTATTTAGGAGAGAAGGGAAAATTGTGGTGATATGGTGGAGGCATACTTTAAGAAGTAAAATTAGCATTTAGAAACCTTAGGAAAAATAAACTGCTATACAACAAAGCTACAATCCAAACATGAAGCACACTAAAACATGAGAAAATTCTGAACAACCAGTGGAGTATAAGAAAATATAGTTCATTTGACTTTAATGCTTAAATCATTTTCCATTAAGGGGCAAAGGAAAAAAACAAACAAGCAAACCCAAAAAACAAAAAAATCCAGTGGCAAAAAATTACATTTCCTTTTCTTCGCATCTGATCACTTTACGTAGTTCTGTGTTGAACAACCTTTACATTATCATAAAGATGTAAATGCTGTTTATCGTTTTTGTTAGACGAGATGTATAAGCAAAACATAATAGACAATTAGGGTTAGAAAACAGAAGGTAAATGTTGGCAATTTAAAAGTAATATCACAGGGGAGAAAAGTCTAGAGATGGAAGGGGGAGAACTAAAACCAAGTACTAAGTCTCTAACATCCTCAGCTCATGATGTAGCGAGCATGCACTGAAGTGAAGGAAGAAAGAGATGCAAGAATGTTATCTGTCCTTATATATAAGGCAGCTAGGACTCTCTACACTGATACAATTTTTTAAAACATATACATGTATTACTTTAATTAACGGAAACCCTGGTGGCATAGTGGTTAAGTGCTATAGCTGTTAACCAAAAAGTTGGCAGTTCGAATCCAGCAGGTGCTCCTTGGAAACTCTATGGGGCAGTTCTACTCTGTCCTATAGGGTTGCTGTGAGTTGGAATCAACTTGACGGCAACGGGTTTGATTTTTTTTTTTTTTTTTACTTTAATTAAAACTTTTATCTGCTTAAATAATTATTGTAAGTACAGTCACTGAATGTTAAAAAAGTAAGTTTGGAATAAATTCAATATATATCTATATTAGTCTCCCAGTTCCTTTCAGGTCCCAGCCAGGTATTAGCATCCCACCAACCTGTACTACTTCAAATCCTGAACCGTGGTTACTCACCACGCTCACCCTCAGTGCTCACTCAAAAACCAGCACAGCAGAAAGAGAAGTCTCAGAATGATACAACATGCTCAAATTATCTTACTTTAATAAATTAGATTTTTAGACTTTTCTCATTAAAAAAATATGGATCTGTCCCATTTAGAAATGTTTTAAAACAGACAAACAGAAGGAAGAAAATAACGATGATTCTAATCTCACCTCCCAGAGACCACACTCTCAACATGTTTTTGTATTTCTTGCCAGTGTTTTTTTTATTTTTTTATTTTTAAAAATAAAAATAACACCAGGAGTGTACAAAATTCAGGAATGTATAGCAGATAACATTATGTAACTAGCATTTTCGCAAAATGACTTCTTAAAAAAAATTTTATTTCATTTTTAAATATTCTCCTGCAACATTATCTTTAGTGGCTACATGATAATCTATGGTACCACCATCCTTTCAATCTTTTTTTTTAGATGATTAGGCTGTTTCAAATTTTTTGTTATCAACACTGTGAAAATATATTTTCAGCAAGCTATTTCTGCACATATTATTCTCATCAGAATAACTCCTAGAACTGGGAATTTAATCCACCAGGGCCACCCCAACCAAGCCTCAGAAAAAAACAGAAATATACTACAGATAGCAGGAAGGAGACCTTTCTTCTAGGGCAAAAGTCCCTTTAGCCATAGAAGAAAACAATTATGTAAGCTAATTCCGTATTGACAAAATTTTACTGTTTAGCTAACTCGTTAATTTAAAATAAACTCGAGTGTTTTTGAGTATTACTTTTAAAGATTTAAAAAAAAAAAAGTTTAAATAACCTCCCTTTCTCAAAAGTTTATTGCTAAGTTTGATTTCCTCATATTAGGAGATCATCATTCAAATTCAATTAAAATATTTAAATTTTCTCATCTGCTATTTTTAACTCAATGTAGAGATTCTGTTCAGATACATTAAATCATTCTGATACGTCTCTGCATATACACTGCTGTGAACCTCACAGCACCTCTGAGGCCCCCATCACCCTCTTCAGTGGTGAAAGTCTCACCAACGTGGGCTGGAAACCAGGCTTCACCACTCACAGGGCACATGATCACACTTAAGTCTTAAATATTTCCTCTTTTATAAAACAGGGACAAGGCCACAACCCTGAAGGGATTTTGTGTAGATCAAATGGGGTATCTGTAAAGATCTTAGCACGGTGTACAGTAATTATTACATATGTTGTCCTTGGTTTTTACAGGGCAGAAGAGAGATGAAGCCAGGACAGTACTTGGTGGCCAGTCAGCTCACTTTTCCCCTGGGTTAAGTTTTTTAGGATTACACACACACACACACACACACACACACACACACACACACACACAGACACACACACACA